GGTTGGGTTAGGTTGGGTTGGGTTGGGTTAGGTTAGGTTAGGTTAGGTTAGTTTAGGTTAGGTTGGGTTAGGTTGGGTTAGGTTGGGTTAGGTTGGGTTGGGTTGGGTTAGGTTAGGTTAGGTTGGGTTGGGTTAGGTTGGGTTGGGTTGGGTTAGGTTGGGTTAGGTTAGGTTGGGTTGGGTTAGGTTGGGTTAGGTTAGGTTAGGTTGGGTTGGGTTAGGTTAGGTTGGGTTAGGTTAGGTTAGGTTAGGGTAGGTTAGGTTAGGTTGGGTTAGGTTGGGTTAGGTTGGGTTGGGTTGGGTTGGGTTGGGTTAGGTTAGGTTAGGTTGGGTTAGGTTAGGTTAGGTTAGGTTGGGTTAGGTTAGGTTGGGTTGGGTTAGGTTGGGTTAGGTTAGGTTGGGTTAGGTTAGGTTAGGTTAGGTTAGGTTAGGTTGGGTTAGGTTAGGTTGGGTTGGGTTGGGTTGGGTTGGGTTAGGTTGGGTTGGGTTGGGTTCGGTTGGGTTGGGTTGGGTTAGGTTAGGTTAGGTTGGGTTAGGTTAGGTTAGGTTGGGTTAGGTTGGGTTAGGTTAGGTTAGGTTAGGTTAGGTTGGGTTGGGTTAGGTTAGGTTAGGCTAGGTTGGGTTAGGTTGGGTTGGGTTAGGTTAGGTTGGGTTAGGTTGGGTTGGATTGGGTTAGGTTGGGTTAGGTTAGATTAGGTTAGGTTAGGTTGGGTTAGGTTAGGTTGGGTTGGGTTGGGTTGGGTTAGGTTAGGTTAGGTTGGGTTGGGTTAGGTTGGGTTAGGTTAGGTTAGGTTGGGTTAGGTTAGGGTAGGTTAGGTTGGGTTAGGTTGGGTTAGGTTGGGTTGGGTTGGGTTAGGTTGGGTTGGGTTGGGTTAGGTTAGGTTAGGTTAGGTTGGGTTAGGTTAGGTTAGGTTAGGTTGGGTTAGGTTGGGTTAGGTTAGGTTAGGTTGGGTTGGGTTAGGTTAGGTTGGGTTAGGTTAGGTTGGGTTAGGTTAGGTTAGGTTAGGTTGGGTTAGGTTAGGTTGGGTTGGGTTGGGTTAGGTTGGGTTAGGTTGGGTTGGGTTTGGTTGGGTTGGGTTCGGTTGGGTTGGGTTAGGTTAGGTTAGGTTGGGTTGGGTTGGGTTAGGTTAGGTTAGGTTGGGTTAGGTTGGGTTAGGTTAGGTTAGGTTAGGTTGGGTTGGGTTGGGTTAGGTTAGGTTAGGTTAGGCTAGGTTGGGTTAGGTTGGGTTGGGTTGGGTTAGGTTGGGTTAGGTTAGGTTAGGTTGGGTTGGGTTGGGTTAGGTTGGGTTGGGTTAGGTTAGGTTAGGTTAGGTTAGGTTGGGTTAGGTTAGGTTGGGTTGGGTTGGGTTGGGTTGGGTTGGGTTGGGTTAGGTTAGGTTGGGTTGGGTTAGGTTGGGTTGGGTTGGGTTAGGTTGGGTTAGGTTAGGTTGGGTTAGGTTAGGTTGGGTTAGGTTAGGTTAGGTTAGGTTGGGTTGGGTTGGGTTGGGTTGGGTTAGGTTAGGTTGGGTTGGGTTGGGTTGGGTTGGGTTAGGTTAGGTTGGGTTAGGTTGGGTTAGGTTAGGTTAGGTTGGGTTGGGTTGGGTTAGGTTGGGTTAGGTTAGGTTGGGTTAGGTTGGGTTAGGTTAGGTTAGGTTAGGTTGGGTTAGGTTGGGTTGGGTTGGGTTAGGTTGGGTTAGGTTGGGTTAGGTTGGGTTAGGTTAGGTTAGGTTAGGTTGGGTTAGGTTAGGTTAGGTTGGGTTGGGTTAGGTTGGGTTAGGTTAGGTTAGGTTGGGTTAGGTTGGGTTAGGTTAGGTTAGGTTAGGTTAGGTTGGGTTGGGTTGGGTTGGGTTAGGTTAGGTTGGGTTGGGTTGGGTTAGGTTGGGTTAGGTTAGGTTAGGTTAGGTTAGGTTAGGTTAGGTTGGGTTAGGTTGGGTTGGGTTGGGTTGGGTTGGGTTAGGTTAGGTTGGGTTGGGTTGGGTTGGGTTAGGTTGGGTTCGGTTAGGTTGGGTTGGGTTGGGTTGGGTTAGGTTAGGTTAGGTTAGGTTGGGTTGGGTTGGGTTGGGTTAGGTTAGGTTAGGTTACAACTGCTACGACAATGTGGCAGCTTGGGTTAGGTTAGGTTAGGTTAGGTTAGGTTAGGTTGGGTTGGGTTGGGTTGGGTTAGGTTAGGTTAGGTTGGGTTGGGTTAGGTTGGGTTGGGTTAGGTTAGGTTAGGTTGGGTTAGGTTAGGTTAGCTTAGGTTGGGTTAGGTTGGGTTAGGTTAGGTTAGGTTAGGAAATAGTCGCGTTATTAGGGGGACTGCTTTGTCGTTGTTGATGTATCATGGACCGTGTGATGATTTAAACAGGCATGCGCTTTCTCTTTCCAGGCCACCGCTACCTGGGACCCGGGAATCCTCTAAACAACGGAGAGCCCGTGGACGAGGACGACTCTATTGCCCGGGAGCACGACAGGAGGTACTCGGACGCAAAGACCGACCAGGACGTGTTTGCAGCCGACAAGGACGCCATCCGCGACTTTGTGGGCGACTGGGCCGACAGAGGATCTTTCCACTCGTTAGTCGGTGCTGCGGGACTCGGTCTCAAGAATTTGGTGGAAGAAAAGGTACTCGGTCGTTCCCTCTATGGACGAAGTGGAGCAATGTCCGGACGGAAACGTGGTCACAGTGAATGCAGCGGGAGCTCACCAGAATTTAAAAAGCTCTACGGTAGCAGCGTCGAAAATTTCATCAACCAGGCCCTCTACTCCGGAGAGCGAGCCAGGGCTGATAGCACCACCGGTAACGAGGAAGAAGAGCAGTCGCAAGCCTTGCGGAACGAAGGAGGAGCCGGCGTTGGAAGTAACGCTGCGAATGACGGAGTCGTCGTACAGCAGATTTTGCGCATCCCCCGAGACAAAGGAATGGTTCGGGTGCATCGTGACAGTAAACTACTTACCACCTGGGGCTATGTCACAGTGCTAACCGAGATTACCTATGCGCACAGCTACAAGTACAAGGGCTACCAGACCTCGATGAGCAGACTACCCGTCGAATATCTGTACCTCTACATGACTCCGGCGCATTTCAATATGCTATCCGACAACACCAAGGCCATCAAGTGCAGTGCCAAAATTACACCGCACGGCATTCGCACTCCATGGAAGACTGGGAGCAGCGTCGTACAACCCGTCAATTCGGACATGATGGTATACGGCGTGAGCGCAGTGGGCCTTAACCTATCTCTGGACACTGGCATGTGCGTTCCCGGTCCCGGTGGCGCAGACAATGCCATGTATACATCCAACCCCACAGAGTTTAAAGACGCGGACCACAGACACCTCATTGAAAAGTATTGGGGCATGAGCATGGACGAAAACCTGATCATGACAAAGTCGGAAAAGATACCAACGTGTATGGGTGTTCCACGCCACAACAAGTGCTACGACTTTATTCACTGTGCCAACTTTGCTCCTCGCACCAACAAGTTTGTCAACGTGTATCCCTTCAAGAGCCACATTGGAACACCCATCATCAACTACGAGTACGAGTTTGAAAACGCTTGGATCAAGACTTGTCCACCGTATTGCGGCAACAGCAGGACCTATGTTGCAGCACCGGTCGACAGCCTGACCAAGACGGCCTCTAGCCTGGACAACGACAAGGAGAACCCTCCAGGTGTTTCCTCGGCAACCAAACTCTCCCTAAACACGGAAGTTACACGGTACACCAATCCAATCGAACGTGAATGGGGCCGCCAGGGACTCGGACCTCATCCCAACTTGCACGCTGCTCAACCTAGTGTGGGTTTCGGCATCATGGCCGTATCTAAAAAGAATCTGGACCAACCGGGATCGGGGGACAAGTTTCAAGAAGTTGCTGCCTTTTTCCAGGTCGACACTGAAATTGTGCTGCACACGGATATCGTCACGATTAATCCCATGGATACTTGCTACCCGGCAAAGGAGCAACACTATGAAAAGACCAACTTTGGCATGTACGTGCCGTACAACCGGCAGACGCACCTGGGCCAATACACATACCTTCCCAAGACATCATCCCACCTCGTTCCTTTTGAACCGTAAATTTTTATTGCGTTCTCGAGTTGTTGAATAAAACCGTATACTCTACTCAATTCAATGCTCGTCTCATTTTCTACTCGCTCCAAAAATTGGTCTTCGGTCTCGTCTTCTTCTTGTACTAAATTCAGATGATTGTAATTTCCGTTCATGACCTCACATGCAATGCCTCCGCTTGTTCCGATAGCATGCAATTGAGCCGGTTTTCTTGTTCCATTAAAATTTCATTTTCAAAATCCTCCATCAGGTGGCAGTCAAAACTGCGTCTTTGAGTGCCACGGCTCGCTCCAACGCCCTCTCTCTTGAATCCAACTCCCTCTCTGCCACGGACGCCTCGGGCGTGTCGTCGTCGATGTAGATCTGCATAAAAAGATATATATATACTTTTTTAATAACACCGACAACAGCTCCGACACAACAAACGATAACTAGGGAGCCGCTAGGCCTAGCATGTCCAGACTTGCACCGTTACGTAGAGCTGGATTTTAGCTTTCGATTGATACCACTCTCGCCAACCTAGGCTTAAAAGAAAATAATTATGCCAAGTTTATCTACTTTTCATATAGGCAGTCTGGCAACCCGTGCACTTTGGCGCCAAATTCAAACGTTTGAAAAATTGCATCTCGCTTCCTATTGGTCGCAGCGAAACCAGACTTGAATTGCGGGATAGTACTCGCCGAGACCTTTCGTTTGATAGGTCACACGCCTGGGTAGGGCCACACCCGAAAATTTGCAAAACTGCCAAAATTTGGACCGGGCCGAACCTGGTCGACATTGGTATCGTTGGAAAGGGCTCAAAGAGACGAATCGAACGGTACCCAACACGACTGGGTAGGACCAAATTTAGGTGCCCAAATTTGGGTCCAAAGAGTTGGCCCGGGCCAAATCCAAAAACAAACTATACCACCAAGCAGCATTCTTTGAGCTCTCTTCAATGATACCACACTCGGGCCATTTGGACAAAGTCAAATTTTTGGCCCCCCGGGCCACACTCACTGGATTTTCGGCGGTTCCTTCCATCTGGCTATCTCCTGCAGGGGGGGAGCCTCTTGTTATGGTCCTTGTCGTCGGTGTAGTCGTCCCAAGTACCGTGCGGTCTTATATACCCGAGCTGGTTGCAAAGACAAAGTTAGTCAAGGTTAAAAAGCAGACAGAATTAATCAATGTCAAGTAAATTCCTGGAAAAGCTGGTTAAAAAGCAGACAGAATTAATCAATGTCAAGTAAATTCCAAGAAAAGGTGGTTAAAAGCTTCCTCCTAGCAACAGACGACCTTCGGAAAAACCCTGGAGGTCACATGATCAGTGAGTATATAAGAAGCCCCACTATACGAGCGAAATCAGTCTGCACGGCTCGGGTGGACCTACAAGCAGACCGACAACCAGGTAAGCCAGCCATCTTACTATGCCCTGTTTGAATTTTTCTCCTTTCTGTGCCTAGATGTACTACACTAGGCAAGCTTTGAATCTTGTACGGGCGCAGACATAAGGCGGGAAATTCAAACTTTCCTTTTGCCACTTGCAGAAATTTAAACGCCGTTTCTTGTTTAGGACGCAATGGAGCGAGATTCGCCCGAGCCAAAACGTCAAAAGGTGGATCATCATGACCAGGTACCTCTACATATTCTGCTAGAATATATGTTTGATGGTCCACATGTCTATAGGGACAGCATGGACGAACTCGTCGAGAAGGTGACTCAGGACTTGCCACTCAGTATGTCCAACCATTGGATTTCTCTGCGTACCTTGCTAGAGCGCTGGACCAAATACCAGGAGACGATATATCCCAATCAGGAGCAGCACGAACGGGAATGGATGAAGATTACCAATCCCCTCCGGTTCCAGCCAGATGGGCAGAGGAGTTACGACGGGTTCCGAAGAGACGAAGAATTGTGCACGATGTTATTCCCGTTGGAAGTCTTGGAGAAGCTGAGAGCCTGTATCAAACGCTCACGCGAAGCTTTGAGGACCCCCGGTCAGGATTCGCATTCACAGCCGTCTCTTTTCACCTCGACGGATGCCGAAAACCCCACGTGCACGTGGTCCACGACTGCGCATGGTCGAACGGATCGTGCCGATGCGTTGCCTTCTATGGGATCCACCGTCGACCAAATCGCGCTTCGATTTGGACTAGTAATGCCACCGGGTGGGACTACTGGCGTCTCGTCGTGTATCTTGCTACAAACCCCCGTCGGCTCAAGCACTTTGCGGTGGCAGGAGCCGATTGGCGCGAATACCTTGGAGCTGCGCCTGTGGAACACGGAGGACATACTGGATGTGGAAGCTCACGAACAGTGGAAACATTACTTGGAGCATTTCCGAGTACAAGTGCCTGTGAAGACTGCTCCAGAAATACAGGAGGCGATCAAGACGCTGTGTCGCTACGCCCAGGAACGAGTACTGCAGGTCAAACCAGAAGACGTCAAAACGCACATACTGAAGAATCGCTGTACCGAGTCATCATCCAAAATCCGGTTTCGCCGCTAAACAGTATAATCCGAACGCCGGTATGGCTAGACAGTCCAGACTTGCGCTTTATACGACTAGACGATAAACGCTTGCAACGCGCGATTCAGGTACTTAACGAGCAGCTGTGCAACTGGACTACTCTAGATTACATTCAGCTCTATTCCACAACTAACCCACTTTTTGACGCGCCTCACGGCAACATTAGTGCTTATTACATGGACGTGACCGCATCGTACGACGCCATGGTACGTTTGCTCGAGTATCAACTCGGAGAGGAGGTGCAGGAGTTTGTACACGACTTGTACAATTTACTAGAACGTCGCGTGCCCAAGAAAAACTGTATGGAAGTGGTGTCACCCCCTAGTGCAGGTAAAAACTTTTTCTTTGATGCCGTCATCAGCTTTTATATTAACCGCGGCACCATTCACAACTTTAATCGCTATTCAAACTTTCCGCTCCAGGACGCGGTAGGTAAGCGAGTGCTCATTTGGAACGAGCCAAACTGCGAATCTGCTGCATACGAAACGATCAAGAAAATTTTTGGTGGTGATGTGGACAATGTAGCGGTCAAGTACTCGCCGGACATGATTGTGACGCGGACCCCAGTGATTGTGCTCAGCAACAACGAGACCTTCCCACGTGACGAAGCCTTCAACCACAGAATGTTTCGCTACAAGTGGCGCTCCTGTCCAGCCCTCAAGCAGTACGACAAGAAGATTCATCCCCTCGCACTCATCTCCCTCTTTGACAACTACCTGGACGACCAAGAATACAAACTGCAAAGAAACTTTAAATAAATGCTTGAACCTTTTTTCACGGTCTTGATATTGACCTTCGACAACTGCTACGACAATGTGGCGGCTTGTGTTAGGTTAGGTTAGGTTAGGTTAGGTTGGGTTAGGTTAGGTTAGGTTGGGTTGGGTTAGGTTGGGTTAGGTTAGGTTGGGTTAGGTTAGGTTAGGTTAGGTTAGGGTAGGGTTAGGTTAGGTTAGGTTAGG